CTGGGGGTCGATGGGCTTGGGAACGCCGCATAGAAGCATTGCCGCAGCGGCGATGTTCTGGCTAGCCCGAGCGAACTGTGGGGGGTCGTTCCCCTCGTTCATGATGTCGCGCTGAACCTAGCGGGCGCGACCCCGGGCGCCGCCCGCTGGGTCATGCGCATGGGGCGCAACGTGCTGCACCGAGCGTACCGGCGCAGGCGGTGGCTAGTTCTGCCACCATCGTCGTAGCTCCTCGGCGTGCTCGTGTGCAAGCGCGAGGGCCCCCGCACGTGTGTCCGGAGGGGTGTGAGTCTCCACAAACTCCGCAACCACCGGTGGCTGCCTCAGAGCGTCGGCCATAGCGCACTCCAGGGACGGACGGTGGCTAGGCGCCACGTTGCCGATGCTGGAGCCATCGCTCTCAACCTCGTCATCCAGGAGTTCGTGGAAAGTGGTGGGAGCATAGCTCGCCATTCCCACAAATTCGGATGTGAGAGAGGGCGATGCTAGCGTCCTTCGGAGCCCCCGAGCACACGCGTCCATAGGAGACACAACGCCATAGGGGAACCGGTCGTGCAGTGTTTGTGGTACGAACAAAACGGTCCCTCCGGATAATCGGCGGGAGATAGTAAATAGAGAGTAAATAATAGTATGCACATTACTCACAACGGGTTTGAGCAGAGAGTTTACTCAGAATGAAGCGTAGGCGCCTCGTCGTTGAAGTCATCATGCATCCTAGAGCCGATGGAGGGCGCCCCTCCGACGGGCGCCGGAATGAGTGCCTCCTCACGGAGGTGTAGTACGCCGAGCCGGTCGGCGATAAAGTCCAGGCTTCCGAAGAGGAAGGCCTAGGATGGCTCGAAGACGGGTGAAACCCACATCCCAGTAGGTGGGAGTGCGGCAAACTCTAGTGAGTCAAAGCGAGTCGTAACGCTTGAGCCCGCCATGGCGAAGGTGGCAAAAAAGTGGGTCATCCGATGACCAAAATGTGTTGAACGTATAACGTCTTCCCCACGGACGGTGCCAACTGTCGGTGCAGAAAGTGACCAACACGTAAATATTTGTAGTTTTGATATACGTTGTGATCGGAGGTGGCCTAGCACTCAATGACATAGGGTTTATACTGGTTCAGGCAACGTGCCTACATCCAGTTTGAATCAGTCGGTAACTTTATTCCTGAGCCTAGGTGCTCGAATTTGCTGTGGGGTTACAAACGGAAGGGAGAGAGATGGGGGGTACAAGAGGTCCGGTCAGACTCTGGTCTAAAGGGCCGAGAGTGACAGGAGCCCTGCTATGTGCTAAGTGTTCGAGCGTGTACTTGTGGTTTGAACCTGATGGTTTTGTTGTTATGTACTAGTGAACTTTATTGATTTGTTAGAAGAGAGCGCATCCCCTTTTATAGATGAAGGGGATGGCCTTACAAGTGAGAGGGAGAGAGTACGTATGATGCTAAGTCTTGTTGCCCACGCTGGCAGGTACAAGATGATGGTAGACACCCACAATACTATTTAGTGTCAGATGCACATGGGAGGTTGCGTCGTCTTCTTCAAGTATGGCAGATGTCAGTGCTTGCCACACTATTGATACCCAGAGGCATGCAAGGAGTTTTACCATGTTTGCCTAGTACGGTAAATACCGGCACCCACAACACTGTTGATGCCTCAGGAAGCACGTGGGGGGAGCCTTACCGTATTTGTCTAGTATGGGAGTTGATGGCACCTACAACACTGTAGGGGAAAATGCCGGCGCTTAAAACACTGCTTCGGTTCTGTCATGCCAGGAGGGTCGTAGGGTACTGTCTGGCAGGTGCACAGGGTACGGTCCCTGGTATTGCGGTTTGACTTGTGCGCCCTGCCTTACATTCTCCGTCCGTTTCCTGATCCTTACCGAGCGAGCGTCCTTGGTCGGTTGGTCTCAGTTGGCTCTGATTGCGCTAGTCGGAGAGGAGTCGTAAGCAGGGGTTCGGCGTTTTCCCGGTCGGAGAAGCGGGTCAGAGTCAGAAGTGGTGTTTTGGCTAGGCATTCCGGTCAGAGAGGCCATCCGGAGGCGCGCTGGAGACCGAAGCGAGCGCTTCGATCGAAGAGGTGGGCCGGAGTCGGAAGCGGGCGCCGTTCGTCCTCGGCCAGGCCTTTCGATCGGAGATTGGATCGCCCTTCTGGCCTGTCGTTTAAGTACTTGGGCCGGTCCAAGAATTGCATGTTGGTTCACAACGTTGTCTGCTGGACCAAGCCTTTGCTGGAAAGCCGGTCCATGAGGGTCCCCGGGTTTATGAACCCGACACTTTGGCTTTCATTGCAAAGATCAATAGTGAGGTACACATGGATGACTTTGTCCATCAATACTTTATGTTGATAGGTTCAGAAAGTCATATGCAAGTAAACTCAATCCAATGACATCCAAAGATCAGTGATCTCATGTTGATTTAGGCTACAAAATCAAGAAACCCAAATTGAGAAAGAAACCTAGGAGGCCAAGAAAATCTAGCATAAAGCCATATGACGAAGTTGGCACTAGCAAGAAAAGAAAGGTGTGTTCTGAATGTAATGAACTAGCCACATAGCCAAGACTTGCCAAAGAGGACCTATAAATAGTCAAAAGAGGAGGCAGTCAACAACACAAGATGGATTAGGACAAGGAAGCAATGACCCAATGTGAGTCCTAGATGCATTGCCGCCTAATTCCATTTCTTTAGCCAAAATACTGATATGTAATTATACTAAACACTTTTTTCAACAAACATTGAGTGCAAGTGGTGGAAGGGGAATGGGGTTCAAGAGAGGACAACAATGCACCCATGTATATGATCCATGCAGTCTGTCCATTACTATTTTTTCTACAAATCTTAATGTTGCTAACTATATTAACATGCTTTTACTCTGTTCTTGTGAAGTGCAAGTGGTACAGGAAGGGAAAGAATAAGGAGAAGAGGTTCAGAAGAGGCCAACAATGAGACAAGACATGCAAGTATTGCTTCTCTTTACTATATATTTTGGTAACCTTACTAACACAATTTTGCTCCTTTTTTCATATAAAGTGAAAGTGCTTTAGGAAGGTGAATATGAAGGAGGGGAAGAGGAGGAGGAACTTATGGGAGGTTTAATTCTTTTGTTAGGTTTTAATGCTTGATCCTACTTCTTGTTTGATGTGTCATTTAGACATATATGTTAGTGTTTGACATGTCATTTGACATCTAATATGTTGATGTTTGTCGCTATTAATGCAATATGTGTGATATTAATTTGTTGAGTGATATTAATTTCTATTTATATGGATTGTTAGCTAAAATGTTGTCGAATTTTTTTTCTAATTCTATTTAAAAATTATCAAATTGAAAATAGGGGTAAAAATACAAATATCAAAATAAAACAGGGTAAAAATGAATGGGCAAACTTGTCCTCTTGTGCAAAATTTAATACCGTGAGGTGAAATTCACGTAATAGGGTAAAGTCTCCTTTGTTTGGAAATCATAGAGGTAAAATCATAAAGTTTAAAAAACGAGTGCAAGACCACGGTTTCACTTCAAAACGACGTATAAACACTTAAGCCCCTTTAGATAATGTCTAAGGTATCAACTTGGATAAAAATTACAAAATGATATAAAGTGGTTCAAGTTTAATGACCCAATAGTAGGTCATTCCTAGGCATAGTTAACGGCGATGGCATAGGAGGGAAGAGAAAATATATAAACCAATTGCAACAGAGAGAAGATATAATCTTTAATAACATAGGAAGGATGATTATAAATAAATTTAGATGGCATAAAAGAAATTTTCTCATCACATAAAACCTACGGCGTTTCTAGTAGTGGAGAAGAAGGAAAAGACAATTCTCCCCTAACCTCACGGGCTCACCTTCTTGCCTTGTGCTTAAGGATGGCAATGGGTAAATCCCCATCGGGTATGGCCACCCCAGACCCATCCCGACCATAAAAATTTGGTACCACTAGAATATCCATACCCGTCATGGGTGGGAAATTTTCCCCAGACCCATACCCGGCTGGGTAAATCATACCTGGCGGGTCACCCGTACCCGCCAATAATTTATTCATGCACATGAAAATCAACAATTCATCAGCAACCATCACTAACCAGAGCACATAAAATTAGACAAATAATAACATATAATAATATCTTCTGCAACCAGCAGTCACATTACACCATCACACAAAGTCATTCTGTCATAAATCAGTATATTACATAGCCAAAAGGGGTACATAAATAAATCTCCAAGTTCACTGCAGTGAACATATGTAGGACAACAATTCAACAAACATGATGGTCGCTTGCAAGTGCAAAGAATATAATATGAAGGGGATTAGGGGAAGGGGAACAGGGCAATCACCGTTCTTGCTCAAGTTGCTCCGTCGCTGGCATGGCGTGGCAAGTTCCTGGCGCTTCGATGAGATGCGAATACACGAGACTCTGAGACGAGGTCACGAGGGACGGGCGGGCGGCGTAGTTTTTTTTTCCGACGACGGCTGCGTTTTTTTTGGCAAGTGGTGATTGCGGTGCCAGGCTGCCAGCGCCGAGACGAGGTAACAACGCGCTTTACTCACGCGCCTATTTTTTCGGCGGTCAAGGGCTCCAGCGACCAAGTCGCCAGGCGAGACCGGCGGGTGAACCTAGGGTTTAACATGGGCTGGTGGGCTTATTTAGTTTTGGGTCGGGTATTTTCACCCATGGGTAAACGGGTACGGGGATTGCTAGAACATACCCATACCCGCGTACCCGATGGGTGAAGGGTTTGGCCCATTTACGTACCCGTGGGTAGTATGCTTAGTTCATATTTAAACCCTAATGGAGTAAATACCCGTCGGGTATCGGGTCGCGGTCCCCATTGCCTTTACTTGTGCTCTCCTCTTCCTCTACTCGCGCTTCCCCCCGCAAACCCTAACCCGAGCACCCAGCCCCTACCCGCGTCCGCTCGCGCCGGCCTTTGGGTCTCTCACTCTGAGCGGCAGGCATCCGCAGGGCTCCGGTTGGGTCCCGGAAGCATCCCAGTTGTTGGCGGGAGACCGGGAAATGGCGGAGAAGGAGGGGGCGAAGGTTGGGGCGGAAGAGATGGAAGAGCGGGAGCAGGAAGGGCAGGCGGAGGAGGTGGAGGTGAAGTTTCGTCTCTTCGACGGCTCTGACATCGGCCCCGTGCGCTGCAACGCCGCCGCCACCACCGTCGCCGCCCTCAAGGATCGCGTCGTCGCCGACTGGCCCAAAGGTCTTAAAGATTCCCTTTTCTTGAGCTAAGGAACTCTTGTGAGGCGTGATGAGCCGGCCCCGCCCATGGTGTGAAGTCCTGTGATATATGCTGCTAAATTTGCTTATATTTTTGTTGCTATTCTTAGTCCCTATGTCTATGTGTAGCAAGGAGGAGCAGAGGTCTTTAAGGGGAATGAGCTTCAGATTTGCTTATTCGTTGCCTTAATTGTTTTGGTGCCTGATTTAGGAAAAAAAGGAAGTGTGCCTCCATTATTAGCAAGCACTTCTTCTGTTGAGATTCTAAATGCATTCAATTGAAAATATTGGACGCATAGCAGAAACCGTCACTATAAGAAATCATTGAATATGCTGCAGCAAAAAGATAAATAGGAATTCGTTTTTCCCTAGCTCTAAGCTTGGTAGATAAATAGGAATTCGTTTTTCCCTAGCTCTAAGCTTTGCTCGTCCATGTTCGAATCCTGGTGCAGGCTGTCTCCCCCCTGTGGTCCAGCTTTTTCTATGATGATTGTGCCAGAACATATTTATATAACCTATTTAGATGCAACCACTAAGAGTCATTAATTGCTATTTCTCTGCATCCACTAAGCTACATCATCTGAATTGTTCTAAACCATGTCATATTCAAAGAAATGTCAAACCCATATGTTGCCTTTGGTTCAAACATTAATAGTGTAACTTTCTTTTTTTAATAGAAAAGAAGAAATACTATTACATCCCTTGATGAACAGTTTACAATCCAGTAGGGTATTTGACACCGGACCAAGCTTGTTTGAGGAGCTGATGGGATTTCATCGAACCATGAGCAGGCACAAATTGTTCAAAGATTTAGGAGGGTCTTAGATCATAGCTGTACAATTCCATGTTGATATGCTGCTAGTTTGAGAGTGATCTGAAGTGTCTCAACAAAGTAGCCCAAAGAGGTCACAGGATCAACACTCAGAGAGCCCAGTAGAACATGGTTTTTTTAGTTGGACATTTGTAGCTCTCATTGTCAACCGCTTCTCTGTGGTTATCAATGTTTCATCTTGGGAGAACACTGTATTCTTTACTGGGTTTGAAAATGGGGGTATTTATTTTTTCGCCACTAAAGAGGGGTCGCAATCGAGCCCTCATCCACATGTGGGCCACTCAGTCACTGACAGTGTGCCAGGGTGGAAAATCTTATGGCACTCACCCCCTCGAAGAGGCAAATGGTGAGGGTTTGAAAATGGTGCATACATTTACACTTTGAAGAATGTAGCGCGTGTTTTGCTGGTGTCATATTATTTGCTGGTCTTCCACTATGTTTTTTTTTTGTCATTTGTTGAAGTTTGTTGAACCTGCAGGCTTGTATAACTGCATTATGGGTCACCGACTTAGTTGATCTTTAACAATGTCCACAGTACTATGGTTTCAAAGAAATAGTATCAATTTTTACTGAAAATTTACTTATGATTGGATATTATCAAACTGCACACTTGAGATAAAGTTATTAATAATGCACTGAAATAGTACACTTCTTCACTGATTCAACATAGGCAACACTGCTGTGAGCTAGGGTATGCATTTTCACTGGTGTTTACTTTTCCCTTGTTTATTTTCCTACCAGCTTATGAGGTCTCATCATGCATCCCTGATTCATCAAAAGTATTGCTGCAGAAAATAGTTGCATTAACAGTTTTTGGCGCTTCTGTTTCTCTTAATTTTGGGGTTAGTTTGTTTGATGCAATAAATTGTTTTACATCAAAAACATTCTGGAGTATATCAGTTATAAGTTTAGTTCTGGGTTTGTTAAACAACCCATTCATACATTTGCACATGTTTGTATAATACTTTTATGGCCATGATTTTTTTGTGTTGCAGATAAATCAATTGTCCCAAAGACTGCTAGTGATGTGAAACTAATAAGTGGAGGCAAAATTCTAGAAAATGACAAGAATATTGCACAGTGCAGAGCACCTTTTGGTGACCTTCCCAGTAGTGCTATCACGATGCACGTTGTTGTTCAACCATCGTCAGCCAAATCAAAACCAGGTGAGTTGCAAGTTTTTACTCATTGAGGAAATTCTTTCTTATGGATTTCTGACTTCTATCATTCAACTCAGTAGACTGGATATAAACATTTTTATTAGTATCATGTTATCTTAAAATTCCAGTTCTGCTAATAAAAGATTCAGTATTTTATTGTTATCACTATTGCTTTAGTTTCCTTAGGATTTATATTCTTTCCCTATCTATGGTTCATGCTTTACCATGCTGCCATCATTTTTTGTTGGCTATATACTTTCAGAAGTGTGTTCTTTTTGTTTACTTGAGAGATACTTTGTAATAGAATGTAAAAAGTGTTGACATGAGAATTATTCATATTCACTGCTGGTAGAGAGATAGAGAAGTAAGCTATGAGCTAGAGCTACTCTATAATTTGAGGTTAAAAAAATGCAGGCTTTACTGAGCCAATGTTCAAGAACTGCTCCCTCAATTCTTCCTGCTAAGCCATAATACCTCATTTGTGGTTCAGTTCTTGGTCATAATTAGGACACCAGGAATTAGCTATAAGTCCTATGCAAACTGACAGTTCACATCCTTTTTGTTCAAATAGTGAGCTGTTGTAATTTACAGCTAGCCTGAGTTAGTAACATGTACCAGGGTTAGAAAAGGCGCTAGGCAGTGACCTACTGCCTAGGGCCTAGGCGCGTTTTCTAGGCATTTATGCCAAATGCCAAATTATACCAAATATGTGTAGCTGAATAAATTAAAGTTGATCTTCATGCCTTGATGTAGTCTGTAGATGCAACACCACACCGACAGACATATTGCAGAGGCATAATAATATTATATACAATCAATGAATCACAATTGTAGATTTCAGAGGCATATTATATCCACAAAGATGTACGTAGTCTGTAGATGCAACACAACTACATGCCAAATACCTACAGAGCAGACAACCCTAAGGCAGAGAAGGATTTAATAATATGCCTCTAAAATTTTAGGATCAGAGGAGTAAGTAGGCTATCTGGCTACAGAGGAGCAGAGGAGGAAGGACTAAAGTAGTACAGAGGAGGAAGATGACAGGGAGAAAAGGAGAGAGGAGCAGGGGAGAGCAGAGGGGAGGAGAACAGGGGATCTTGCCTTGGGGCTACAGAGGAGGAAGATGATAGGGAGAAAAGGATAGAGGAGCAGGGGAGAGCGGAGGGGAGGAGAACAGGGGATCTTGCCTTGGGGCTACAGAGGAGGAAGATGATAGGGAGAAAAGGAGAGAGGAGCAGGGGAGAGCGGAGGGGAGGAGAACAGGGGATCTTGCCTTGAGGCTTCAGGTCACGATGATCGGCAGTCCGGCCTTGAGTTAAGGCTCACCATGGCACGCGGAGGAGGAAGAGGTCACGGCAGCCGGGCGAGGAGGAACTGCAACTCGACGTCAGGGATGGTATCCGGTGGTGGGTAACGGGAACAGATCGAGGAGCCACACCTGGGCTGGAGCATGGAGATGAAATTGGGTGGCAGCACGGCGAGCTCTCTTGCAGCCTGCATACTTTATCCTTCCCGTGCATCGGCTTTCTTTTCCTGCGGCGCGGTTTCGCCTGCGTGCGCACTTTCGCCCGCCAAAAATCGACCCACCGCGCAGGTCTGACCATTTCCTCGCCGCCTCGTCTGCCTTAGTGCCTCAGAATCGCTGCCTAGCGTTGCTGAGGCACCACCCCTGCTAGCTGTCTGCCTACCCCCTCCCCTAGGCCCCGCAGTCCCTCTCCGCCGAGTAGTAGTCGCGCCTAGGCAGCCGCGGAATACTGCCTTGTTGAACACTGACATGTACTAACTACTGACTTATGTATCCCATTGACTCTTTTGGAGCTGGGACTCAAAAGTGTGCACTGACTTAGCCAAAATCACTAGTTTTTTCCACGCCCATCTTGCGCTCTAAATCAATCACCTTGAGTTAACTCTCATTTGGAGGTTTTTTCATGTTTTGTACCTTACACTTGTAAAATGGGATCCAACTCGGGGTTGTTTATATCCGCAGGGTTGATCTCTTTCTCTTCTATTTTTCTGTGTTCTGTTTCTCCATTATCTGTCTTCTCATCGTTATCCCTCTTAATTGATGCCCATCAGTAAAATTCAAAGGTATGGCACAAAATTGCAAAAAAATACTATAATTGAATTCCCATTTAGCTAAACTGTGTTTTAAAACTACTTCAAGGTGTAAGTTGACCTGGTTTTGTTAGTTTGATGAGTTAAAATGCTTGATGTTGTGGTGGATGTTTTGCAAGTTCAGATGTGTAAAATTGACTTTGTCCCTTAGGAAAATGATTGGATATTTGGTTTTGGGACACCTCGTCGTTCCTTGACTTTTTTTTGGGGTGCTCCATTTCTCAACTTTTTTTTTCACTAGCCTTATTCTTACAAGGAATAGGGGCAAGAGATCAGCTCATTCCTTTCTTGAAGTGAAATTAGAAGTAAAAAAAATGATCTAGTCATACTATGACAAACCCAACCCTCAAACAAAGTGCCCCATAACCATAAGTGAGAATTGTATGTTAGCATGTCTGTCATTGAAAACTAAGTTAGCCTTTCTCAAAACAGGAGGAACATGGCGTCACTAATTCTGGAAATTTGGATGTTGTTCTTTACATTTGTCTTGTGCAGTTGAAGTTTTTGATTAAGTTGAATCATCAAAACTTTGTAATTAAGTAGGCAATTCATGGTAATCTCATATCCTGAATGTTGCTACCTCGGTTACTCTTTTCTGACAGATAAGAAGGCGAACAAGTTGCCCAAAACCACCCGTTGCTCATGTACGATACTATGAACTGTGAAGGTCAAGGCCCTATGAGACCAGCAATAATTTGTACGTCCTCCAAAGATTCTGCAGAGAATTTGAGAACAAAGATTCAAGATGTCCATGTCATTCTCTGCCAACGGGTGGCAATGGCGAAACACGTCCATATGTTGTAAGCTATGCAATTGTAACTTAGGTACAAAGAGTCGGTCCCTCTGCCGTGCGGATAGGGAAAATAGTCTGTTGGTTGCCCTGTTTTACCCTACAAGATGTTCTATATGATGTACAAGATTCAGACACGCTATTTTGGGTGTAGTGACCTTGTTCCCACTTCACCTTTGTAAGTTTGTTTCAGAGTTGAGTATCCTTTTGGGCACTGAGTCAATATGAATCTAAGTCGATTGATTGCAGAAACATTTTCAACTATGCAGTCTTTCCTCATTTATTTAATGTGATTTTGCACCTATGTTTTTGAACTGAAGACTTAATTTGCCCCTATTCCATTTAGAATACTTAACGGTGTCAGTTCAGCTAAAAAGGAGAAGTACACCTATGCGGATTTGCCCCTACTTTTCTAAGAACATAGTAATTTTACTGCTATTTTGAAACCAAACATTTGGACTGAATTTTGATATATTTGAAAATAAATTTGATAACAAAATTTGACAATATGTGCGTCTATTTCAAATCTGATCAAACTTAACAAAATTTTAAGAACACGTATAAACTAACACGGAAGCTGTAGTGTGATGCGACCAAGCTTGCTCGCTTCCTCGCCAGGAATGATCGTCTGCCCATGCACTTGCTAGGCTGCTGCTCGCTCCATGACGTGCTTCCCGCGCCCAACGCAGCTGCTTGCCTGCACGCTTGCCGGGGGCTGCTGCTCGCGGCGCGCTCGAGTGGGCCACTCCACTCTTATTCTGAGCTTGCATGGACCTGCCGAGCTCGCCTGGCTCCGAGACCATTATGTGCTCTCCACAGCAGCTACTCCGCTGCTCGCTCCACACGGGCTATTTGTCGGAGGCTCGAGCGGGCCACCTCACTTTGGGCTCTCAAGCGCTAACTCCACTTTGGCCTTGTTAAATTGCTAAAAAAAAACGATAATGATACGATGAGGGCGTTCTTCCGTCCGAATGTGCCTTCCTAGACCTGTGGGGCTGCCCGGCCTGCTCCCCTCATGGTCCATTAAAAATGAACGACACATTTCTCTTCCTTCCAGCCGAACCCGCTCTTCTTCGTCGCGTGCGCCCGCTCCTCTCCATCCCGTGTCGCTCGCTCCCTCCATGGCCGGCAGCGGCCCGCTCCTCTCCATCGCATGCGCCGCCGGCTCCTTCCCTGGACCGCGCGGTGCCCTCACCCACCTTGTCCTCCTCTCCCCCACCGTGGCATCCTCCTCCTTCACCCCGGCGGCTCCCTCCCCTACCCGGCGTCCTCCTCCCTCACCCCGGCGGCGCCCCTCCCCCACACACTAGTGTGGCAAAACAGACTAATCTAATGCCCTTCCAATAGTACCAGTCTTCCATTAGACACTAAGTACCCAAGATAGTGCATCAAAATCATACCGTTCCATCGAGCACACCCCAAGGAAGAATTCAAAAATCCACATTATTCCGTCAGGATCATAAACGAGAGAATAAATCTTACAACATTCTTAACCATTTCTTACATCACTTTATTACAACATTAGAGTACTTAAACAAGTTAAATACAATAGCGGAATTAAGACAGTTTTACTTGTACAAGAGTTTATACATTTTAGGTTTACATTTTTATCTCGCAGCGGAGAACAACATATGATCAGAGTTACAGTGGAAATAAAGGTTAATGGTGAATCATTAACATAATAAACATTTATAAACCAGATATGATGATAGATCATAAAATTTTTCTTCTAAAAACTTTTAGTGAGGGTTATAAATAAACACTATTGTCGCAGCGTGAAAGAAATCCTCTCTGAGCCCACCAGAAGGTTTCCACACACAAGAGTCAGATCTATGTATCCTCTGATCACCTGCAATAGGGGAAATAAAACCCTGAGTACTCGATTGTACTCAGCAAGAATTACCCGACAGGAGGAAAATAAAAGACTCTAAGGATATGCAAGGTTATCTGGCTTGTGGGTTATTACATCTGCAGGAAGCATTACTAAATGTGCGTCCTTATATTTAATTTTATTAGAAGTCATCATTAGTTCACTAACTAACCATTCTATGTAAGCACCTATACTACTTTCAATCATGTGGTAAGCAATCAGAACCATCTTACCATCTTTCATAGTCCAATTCTTACTATGGTGCTAGATCATAGCCAAATCATACCGTCTCACAGAAACGGTGATTCGTGAACCAATGTATCACAGCTGGGTACCCCAAAACACACGCCTCGCTTGTACCCCAGGCACAAACGAGACCAACTCATTCCACTCCTGTCGAGGGGTCTAGGTCCCCGTCCAAACTTGAACTCCAAGGCCCCACACTTGAGACCCGGTCTCAATATGGTGCTTAGACATTCATTTTTCCTCGCCTCCAATCAGTCAGTCCGAAAAGAGCCGAAACCCACGACAAGAGCGTAACGAGCCTTCCCGCTCCCATAAGCAAGTATGTGCTCAGGATAATAAGTCTGTGACTTGACTACCATCCACAGCAACGGACGGTCATCAATCCACACAGAGAAACAAATGCAACCCAAGCCTCGCTCGAATGCCTAACCAAGTCTAGA